ACAAATGCACAAATACAAAATAGGGAAAATTGCCTACACAGCAGTACTTCAAATTAATGTGGATTTAGAGTAAACCATAAGCTCAATATTTACTGTTTTGAAAAGGAGATGTAATTATCATACTCCATTCAGCAATGGTGAGACCTCAGCTTGAGTACTGTCTTAGGGCTATGCGAAGCTTTGGATGCTGATTCAATTCAGAGGAGATTCAGTGGCTGAATATCCAAATTGAATCAGGGGACCAGTTTAAAGGTCTGAATAGATTCAAAGCTCTCCAAATAAATTTGGAAAAGATTTGGAGAGCTTCAGTGGTTCGGGCAGTCCCCACCCACTGCAACAGGGAGCTAGGTCCAGACTCCAAGTTGGTAAGTAGCGGAAGGGGGAGGGGGGCTGGAGGAGGTGGGAGGGAACTGAGGGGGGACCCCTGCCAGGCTCCAACCCCCGCCCGCTCTCCCAGCCCCCTCCCCATGGCTGCCCCACATGGCCCCAGCTCCTGGTGCTTTAAAACAGCCTCCACTCACCAGCTGCTGCCTGGCGGGGGCCCAATCCACTGCATGGGGGGCTCTGCCATGAGCCCCCTGACATCCTCCCCTCTCTCCCAGCCCCGCCAATGACTGCCCCATCTGCCCCAGCTTCTGACCCTTTAAGAACCCCCCCCCAGAAGCCCCCAAACTCACCAGCTCCTGCCTCGGGGCTTCTGGGGGCTTGTGCAGAGCCCCCCCACACAGCAGGGGGCAGTGGGGCTTGCCCCCCATTGGGCAGCAGCCAGTGAGTCTGGGGGTTTTATGTTTTTTTGTTTTTCTTAAAGGGCTGGGAGGTGGTGTGAGCAGGGCCACCATGAGGGGGCTGGGAGAGTGGGTGGGGTTTGGGGAACTCATGGCAAAGCCCCCCATGCAGTGGGGAACATTGGGGATCGGCCCCCCACCCAGCAGCACCCAGTGTGTGAGGGCTTTTTTTTTTCAAAGTGCCAGGAGTTGGGGCGGGCAGGGCAGCCATTGCTGGGGCTGGGAGAGTGGGCAGGGGAGCGGCCTCTGTGATTCAGAGATTCCTCAGCAGCCGAATCTCCTAATCAGATTCAACTGAATCAATTCGGAACAGTGATTCAAATCACCGAATCGAATCACTGTCCCCTGAATCGGCCAAATCCAAAACGAATACTAGCCGCTTCGCACAGGCCTACTGGTTTTGGGCACTACACTTTAAGAAAGATGTAGAAACAAATTGGAAAAGAGTGTAGAGGACTATGACAGGAATAAAACATTTTTGAACACGTGGCCTTTGAGGAAAAAGTAAAAGAACTGGTTTTATTTCTTCTAAAAAAGAGAAGAGTTAGGAAGCATGTGATAATGGGCAACCAGTATGTAAATGATTAGCATGAAAAAGACAGTGATCATTTATTCTTCTTGTACACAGAGGCTGGGCAAGAAAAATTAACTTAATTTGTGGGAAAGGAGGCTTAGGTTGGATATTATGAAAACCTTGCTAATCAAAGGGCTAGTTAGGCACTGGAGCAAGCTTCATAAGAAAGTTTTGAATCCACATCTTTGCAGGTTTTTAAGAAAAGTGTGGGGGAAAAAAAAATCAGGGATGGCCAAAGTATACTTGATCCTGTCTCAGAGCAGGAAATGGAGTAGATGGTTTCCTGAGGTCTCTTCCAGCCCTATATTTCTATGATTTCTATAATTTCCCTCTTTTAGTAAAATAGGTTTTATAGTGTTTTTAGATATATTTAACAATTTGCAGCATGCTGTCATTCTCAGGAGTGCATATGTGTGGGAAGGATAATTTATTGTAAATAGAATAGTTAATAACTGAATGACTTCCATTTTTCATCCCAGTTCTTGACATTTATTACCCACTTAGTTTGCCTCTTTTCTGCTTCAACCTGTAACCACCATTCAGTGTAGGTGATAGATTGTTTCTTACTCAAAAAAATGTTTAATTACTTTTAAAATTTAAATGGAAGTATAAATATGTCATTGGCTGGAGCATTCACTAGTGGAGTTTCTTCACTGATCTTCATGGGGATTACAGTAACTTATAGTGCCACAATGTTCAAAGTGCAAACAGTTATGTTTAGAGGGCTGAACTTTCAGAATGCCTAATATTTAGAATCATATGTTCAATTAAAGAGTTTTATACTTTTATATTTCTTGAAATTCATCCACAGCCTCAAGTTGGTCTCTGACTCCCAGTTTTGTATTTGCAAAAGTAGGGGACTCTCAGTTTGTGTTTATGAATCATATACCCGGCTCATGAATAATGTAGCTGAGAAAATGGATCCTAGCTTCCATATACAAAAGCACTTTTGTAGATGCCAAATAGATGTATGGGGGTGTTAGTTGTAGCTGTGTTGGTCTAAGGACATAGGCAGACAGGGTTCCTTGGGTAAATGTGAAATATTTTATTAGACCAACTAAATAGTTGGGAAAATTGTTCTTTGCAAGCTTTCAGGCACAAAGACCCTTCAGTTTGAAGAAGTTATTTAGTTGGTCTAATAAAAGATATCACATTTACCCAAAGAACCTTGTCTGCAAATAGATGTATGCTCACTTTGTAAGATGAACTGTTGTGTACCCAGCAGTGAGCATTCACAGCTGGGGGCTGGAGCTGACATTTTGGTCCTAAGAAGCCTTTGGAATAGATGTAGTGCCCTTTTAGACCTCATTATCTCATGTGGAGGCTAAACTAAACATGAGGGTCATCCAGGACTCCTCCTGCTACCCCTAACATAGAGGCATGTTGGGAATAGGGCTGCAGTTTGTAGTGCTGAAGAGATTTTGATCACTACTATGGCAGATGGTCAACCAGGGACAGATTGCTTTAAGTTAGACAAATCTCCTACCTCCCCACCTTAAAAACGTTCTAAGTTATACCAGAGGCCAAGAATCAAAAAAGCCTACAGACAGCTTAAAGCCACCCTGGGCTGAGAGTCTCTTAGAGATGAAAAACATCTTCAGAAGTTATTTAAAATCATGCTAACTAACTTGATTTTAAGGAGTTCCCTTTTATGTCAGCATTGTCTTTTGAAGAGAAGTCAAACCAGGAAGTCATTTCAAAGCATTACCCAGGGCAAGTTTGCCAGTAGAACATGGCAACTTTTGCAACCTTTTGGCTTGCTTTGTATAAACTTATTCTCACCAAATTGATAAAAAAAGGAGGACCAGGGACTTCTCTGGCAATATCAATCACTTCACATTCCAGTACAATATTTAAAAGATGACACGACACTGGTAGAGATTTTTTGTTGTTGTTCTTCTTCTCTCCTGTTGCACGCACTTACTTTGTACTGGATAGATATACTCTGAAGTATTAATATTAGTATTAGCACCCGCTTGTTGCGTAGTCATTGGCAAATAGAACTGCTCTTGGTCATTGCTTTGATGGTGCTGCTCTTACAAATGACACAATGCATGGTAATTACTTTTAGCAGGCAATTCTGACTAGTCACACAAGTCAATGGGAATTTTGCTACTGACTTAATGAGAGCCAAAACTAGAACCTTAGTTACCTAAGTGACATGGTGAAAAAAAGCTTTGGATGAAGGGCAGTGCTAAAGCAAACATTTACATATTTGCCAGTCTGACTGATGAAGGAACTGTTGGATCAAACAGAGAGTTTAGCTGTCCTTAAGAACTGAATGTTATTCCTTTTGAGTTAGTGTGGCATGCTTCCTTGTGTACCCTTTTAATGCATCTTTCTTTTCATACCTAGCAAGAAAATGTGATGAAAATTGTAGCCTTCCAGTTTATGCAACACATTTATCTATACATATGAAAAGTCTAGTACTATCTTTTAAATAACACAATGATAGGAACTGTATGAAAGCTAAGGTAAACAGCAAACATTTTCCCTGCTATGCACTAATGGCCTTATCTCGGTGCCTTTCAGACTAATAAAACAATGAAATGATGGTTCTTAGGGCAGCTCCTTCCTTCAGTGCAATGTGTTTAACCAAGAAAACCCAAATAACAGTAAATAAAACCTAAACATCTTACTGGCAGCTGCTAAGTACAGTGGCATGTGCCCAATCTCAGGGAGTGATTAAGTGTCCTAGAGTTCATATTTTTGGTCTCCAGTTTATAAGAATGTCTGCTCAGGTGCAGAACAATTGTCTACAACTTCGAGGAATCCAGTCAGTGCTCCTTCTCGTGCACCTACACTTCTGTTAGATAATTACATGTCAGTAGCCACAAAGCCAATTTGGTGAATAATTAAAAGACAAGGAATAAGGAAAAATAAATGGCAAATGAATAACCTTTTATAAAAAAAACCCCAACCATGGTACCCGAGAGAAACCAAAATTTAAGTATCTCTGCTTTTAGCTAATATTTTATCCCCAACCACCCCATTGGGTATTTTAGTATCAGGACAAGCAAAATTAATGTGATACTATGAATAATTAAATCTAAAAAAAGAAAGAGCAACTGACAGAATAGAATATAGTGAAGAACAACCATGCTTTTATTGATGGCAGAAAAATAACATAGCATTAAAAAAAATTGGAGCTACTCCATAGAGGAACAGATTTAAGTTCCTTGAGTAATTGAAATGGTCACGCTTGCAAACACAAAAACCACAAAAAAAATGTTACTTGAATTGGCCCTCATCCCAGAAATACTCTGGCTATAGTTAGAAAAGTTTTCCTAGCTTGAGAAAAAATGCTTAGCATGCTAAGCTTTCAGCATCATGTACCTAAAACTTCCCGTGAAAGTACACAAACCTCCAACAGCCATTTTTAGTAGAAACTTGTTTCACTTGATTCCTCCCTAGCTAAGTTGCTTTCATTTAGAGAGAGAAGAACCATAAGAATCTTCTGGTCAAGCAAAAATTCCTTGAATTTGAAGTTCCATATCTCAAATTTGGCTTTCCTATGCTTTCTTTTTTCAAAACTTTTAAGGTGTACGTAAGTTTTTGGTTTAGCCCAGAGCTTTAGAATGAATTCCACCAAATTCTGTTCTTTAATAAATGAAAGTCATCACTGTTTACCCTCTTCTTAGCTGTCCTGTCTTATTAACTAGCTCTCCTTACAAGAATAATGAAGTAGAGCAGAACAAACTTCTGGCTAGGGCTGCTCCAGCTTTATTGAAAGGCAAAGGGTAAGTTACAGAGAGATTATGTTGGTAGTTTCTGCTAACACAATTAAAAAACAAATCTGCTTTCTTTCCTCTGTTTTTGATTGTCTGCAGACCCTTTTTTTCGCGAAAAAACATAATAACTAAACTAACTTGCTGAACTAAGTAAGGACGTACGTGTGTGTGTGTGTGTGTGTGTGTGTGTGTGTGTGTGTGTGTGTGTGTGTCTAGATACTTGAGGACTCACTCAGATACTTCCAAACATATTAACTTGTGATTTCAGTGTTAATCGCATGGGTATATATGTCCAACCAAGTTAGATAACTTCTTAATCTGTATTATATTAAAGTAAGTTTCTTTATTGATCAGCACTTCTGTTTGGTTTTGCACAGTGGTGAAGAGCCTTTAGTTCTCATTAACTTCAATGGAAGATGAAGGTGCTCTGCCCTTTCTAATACTGTCTCCCCTTCTTGCAGAACTGGCGCCTTACTCGAGTTGAATTCTACCATTTCAACCAATTAGAATATAAAAATATAATCAGAGCTCATTTTGAAAAAAAATCTAAGAACACTTATTATTCATTCCTAAATACCCATTTCATGGTCTTACTTGCTCCTGCTTTCTCTGTTTATTTCTCTCTGTCTGTCTGGACCACACCCTTTTCTCCCCATCCCTGTTTCAGGTTACAGTACAGCCTCGATGTTGCAGACAGGCTGGCCGATGAACATGTACTCATTGGGTTGTATGTCAACATGCTCCAGAGCAACCCCTCACGGTTAGTGCAGGTTTGGCACCTTTGGGGATCCTTAGAAAAGGGACATTGGTTGATTTAAAAAAACTACATCACAGCCATAGGTACTTAGTATTTCCTACTAGCTATAGCTGAGGCAGCTATTTATCAAAATTAGTCCAAAGAGTAGATATATCTGTGTTTAGTAGATATAATATCTCCCAGTATTGGTTGTGGTATCACTGTTCTTTCTAGTAGTGTTAAATAGCGAACTAATGTGAACAGCTGCTTAGCTAAGCAATACTGCAAACTAGTGCCTGACATGGTCAGAGCAGTACTTGATGACAGTACATAAATTTACTCATACCAGCGACTTACAATTTCTCATTTTCAGGGAATTTTTTGAGGTGATGTGTGATGTAGATTTCAGTTTATTTTGTAAATGTAAAATAGTGATAGATTAGAAAAAACCAAGAAATTGCTTATTAGCCCGTCAAAGGAAGAGCTTTATTTTGGTTTGCCTGGTTTTATACAAGTCAGTCACTCTCCTTACCTTTGTCTGGCTTCTGTAAGGTCTAAATCTATATAAATAAAATATCTGTTTTTTCCAATATCCATAGCTCAGGGCAAAGTCTAGCCAGTTTTGAAGTGAGTATGTTGCCTATGGTTTTTATTTTTGGGCTTCATTTAAACATGTCATGCTCTGTCTAGCTAAAAGGACTTTCTGTCACCTTCAGAATTGTGGATAGTGGCACCACAGAAAGCCAGCCTGGTTAGGGTAAGGACCGGCCTCCTGTGAAAGATGGGGAGGAGTTTAGTGTACAAGTAACCATGTGTTCTTAAAATGTAGCAGAAATCAGTTCTGTGTTTTCTGACAACATTATACCTGCCACACACAGGTGTGGTATATTTGTTCTTCTAGATTTCCCTACTGTCATTACAACATGTCACCTTGAGAGAAGATAATCAAGTACATGATGTCAGAAGCACCCTTCTTAAAAACATTAGAGAGAGTGAGAAGTTCCCCCTCAGGAAAATGCAGCTGCAGTTCTCCAAAATGCCAGGCTAGGGCCTACTGTCTCTAATATTGATGGGAACTCATAGAAGGATGCATTTTGTTTTTAATCTTTTCAAGAATCAGTTTTTGGTTCCTGGGCCCATTGATTTATAGGCAGTATTGTTGGTATACTAAACCCAGAACTAAACTACTGTACATTGGCGACATGTAGTGGGTGCACTTCCAGCAGCACTTCTGGTTTCATCGCTGGCTCGGTGGTCGGTTGCCGGGGACACCCCCCCCCCATTCGGTGATTTGGTGCTCCCCCCAGACCTAGGAGGCACCAGTCACCCATGCTACTGTATTTATTCAATTTTAATAGGGGGGGCAGGGTGGAGATCCCTGATCTTAGAATCACATATGAAGGCAGTGGTGACACAGGCAGCTGCTGTGGCAAGGACTTCAGCTCTACCCGGGGTCAGGGGCATAGCTGCAGCTGCTGCCTGCCCCTTCTCCTAACATCCCACTGCCTCTGCACTCCACCATCTCCCCAGCTACAGCCTCTGCCCCACCACCCCTGCAATGTAGTCTCTACTCCCCTTCCTGTCCCTCTCCCCCCACACTTGTCTGTGTTCTGTGCTGGCAGGCTCTGTCTACACTGCAGCCTGTGGCACTGAGCCTGTGCCCCAGGCTAGAAAAGGGATAGAGCCCGCCAGTGTGGAGGGAAGGTAAGTGAGGGGAGGGGGATGGGGATGCAGAGGAATGCGGGGAGCAAGGAGCAGAGGCTGGGTGGGAGAGGCAGGAGGGGGAGCAGAGGTGAAGGGGGCTTGAAGCTGTGGAGGAGTGGGCAGGGGCAGAGGTGGTAGGGGCACAAACAGAGGGCAAGCTGCATGACAGCCCCACATCACCTGTTCCCCCACTGCCTGCAGCAATGGCGGGGAGGGGGGAATGGTAAATTAAAGATGACCCTTTAATAATTAGATTCTATCCTTGGAAAATTACCATATTTACTTACATAAAAGGCAAGGATTCTTCCTCCAATCAGCCTGGTTGAAGGAAAGTTCCTTGTCTTACATTTGCAAAGAAGGAAACCTCATTAACTATGTTTTCTATCATTAAACTGCTGCCAAAGCAGCATGTGCTCAGTTAGGGAAACCAATTATAAAGCTGATTAAATGCAGCCAACACTGAGCATGACTATAAAACACATTGGGCAAACATACCTATGGGAACCTACCACAAGGTTAGGTTAATGCAGACCATCTGAATAAGATACATGGTAGTGCCCATTGCACTCAATCCCCCACAGTGCCAACTCTTTTTCAAGTCATGGTGATAAATTGAATACATTTCAACTTCCTTTTCACTCCCACAGCTGAGCTGTGTCTTTCTTTCCCATTTCCAATAATTCCTGTTTCTTTACCAGCCTTAAGTGTCTGGCAAACATCACCAAATTAGGCCCCAAACAGATCACCTAGAATCCTTCTGTCAGCCTCCCCCTCCCTCCTTGGACAGTCACATATGTTTAGTGTGGCCCTGCCCTCCATACAGTGGAGCTGGTTCAGGTTGCCCTGCGCCTTATCTCCATATAAATTTTGATGGATCCCAGGACTCATGATAAGAACATCTAGTTCCAGCCATGAGTGGGGGAGCTAATTAGCAAATGGATTCTCTGTGTGTGGTATCTGGAGTATACACACATACTGAACAGTGCTGAGCTGTGGTGTCACCATGGCTTGAAACACTGACTCTTTTGGGGCCCAGCCCAATGAAATATATGGTAAATCATGAACATTTTAGCCTTGGGCTAATATCGTACATATAGGTACAAAAGTGCTGCAGGGAGCAAATCAGGAAAGCCAAGGCTGCAACTGAACTCCAACTAGTTTCAAGTATCAAGGACAATAAAAAGTCCTTTTTCAGATATGTGGGGAGCTGGAGGAAAAGCAAGGGCAACATTGGACCCCTGCTAAACCAGGTGGGGACAACTGACAACTGACGCCCAGGAAAAAGCCAACCTTTTAAATGGGTATTTTGCATTGGTCTTTCATCAGTCCCATGGGACGCCGATGCCCACTACAGGACAGGAAGGTCTGGGTGAGGGAGATCCCGTTGAGCATCATAGCCCAGCCTCTGGCACGGATCTTTGAGAACTCCTGGTGCTCTGGTGTAGTGCCCGAGGACTGGAAAAAAGCCAATGTGGTGCCTATCTTCAAGAAAGGGAGGAAAGTGGATCCGGCAAACTATAGGCCCATCAGCCTGACCTCTATCCTGGGGAAGGTCTTAGACAAGTTTATTAAAGAGGCCATCCTTAATGGACTGGCCGACGCCAACATCCTGAGGGATAGCCAGCACGGGTTTGTTGCGGGTAGGTCTTGCTTGACCAATCTCATTTCCTTTTACGACCAGGTGACCTATCACCTGGAGAAGGGAGAAGAGATTGATGTCATATATCTTGACTTCAAAAAAGCCTTTGATCTGGTATCCCATGATCACCTCTTGGCGAAACTGGACAATTGTTGCCTTGGGTCCACCATGATCCGCTGGCTGGGAAATTGGCTCCGTGGGTAGACCCAAAGGGTGGTAATTGACAGAAGTCAATCATCTTGGTGCCCTATGACCAGTGGGGTCCCCCAAGGCTCTGTCCTTGGACCCATA